TCTTGCATCCCCTTTGTTCAAGCACATCTCAAATAAACTTGCTTTTGAAAAGATATAACTGATTTCCAGTTTTTTAAATACTGCAAACATGAGCCCACAGACCCTATTTGATATTCCTGCTCTCCTGGGATGATGAGCATTACAGAGCGAGGGGTGGGCCGGGCTCTCCTCACTCAGCTCCCTTCAGGGCACTCTCCTGTGCCTTTGGCCAGACCTGGCTCCTTCTGGAAGTGTGTGTAAGCAAGCCTCCATCCAGCTAGTTTTCATCCTGCCAAAGGGCTTCAAAGGGGCTAAATTCTAAGGCTTTCTGAATGTTTCACAGTAGATGTTCCAGAAGAAAATAGTAATTATTGCAATCAGCATTCCAAATGATACTCTACACTGAGCATTCTCGCTACTCAACACCATGAACGAGAAAATGTCCTCAAGACTTCCCGCTAGTTAGGTCAATTCTATGCTAAATATCACCAAAAGGGTTGGGGAGAAAGGGCTTTTAATCTAATTCATCTGAAAATGTCCATTTTGGAGATTTTCATATAAAAATAACACCAAGGAACTAAAAGTTATTAAGATAATGTAGCACTGGTGAGCATGGCAGCCAATCACAGAGCAATTCAGACATGGTGAATCTACGAGAATCTCAATGTCGTACTTTGGCTCTTAAAAATCACGTTATTTCAAAGTCTAGTCATGTCAGTTTCTTTTTATTCACAAATACTTTTATATTCACTAACTGAAATTAGAAGTGTATCATCCGGAAGAGGGAAAAAAAATACTAGGGGCCTTTAGGACACTAAGAGTAATATATTTAAACAACATAACATAATCTTTCCCTCAAGCAAGCAGTTTACTTTTGAATCAGATTATTACAGTAGGAATACATATACACCATGTATTACTCTAATTATATTTTCCTTTTACAATATATTCTTCCCAACAGGGCCATTCAAAATGTTTAAACATTTCAGAAACAGATTTTAAAAATGTACCACTGGAAGAAAAAAACCATGAGGAACATTCCCGTCCATTATACAACATGGGGTGGAAAGAGCCCCATGAATACCCTATTCCATTGTTTTGGGAGCGCTTTCTGTCTATTGCTAATTTCATCTCTTTTATTCCAAACAGGACTTTTTGAGAAAACCCTTAGGTTTAAAATCAGCATTCTGTTGCTATGTGCCACGTCTCCACCTTCCATCTTTTTCTGAATCTTTCTGCGACGTGGTTGGTTTCTGCGTAATCCTGCAACAGGCTGGTGTCCAGGGCGCAGAGTGTGAGAACACACACTCAGTGGCCCCACCGTGAGTCGCTGTCCCTGGGTAAGTCAGATCCATCCCTAGATACTGTCAGTTGGAGAAAATGCCCTGGGTTCCACATTTTGGGATCTCTACACAAAGGCAGAGAAGCATCCTTGGAAGAAGCGGGGGGGGGGTTGGAGAATGAATGGTGCTCAGTCATATATCCCATTAGTCCTAACCCATTGCACCCCAACTGCTTAGCCAGATCAGCCTGGTTGAAGATGACATGCTCCCCATTGCTCAACCTGGCTCTCTCCACTGGGCTGGGCCTAAATGTGGTGGGGGAAGCTCTGGACAGGCTTTTAGGGTAGGAGACAGGGGACAGGGGAAGAAGAAAAGAGAGAAAACTAAAGAGCCCAAACTGACCTCCAGGTGAATTTAAAGGATTATGAGACTAAAATTAAAGTACCTCTTGAATATCACAGTGATCTCTGGCGGCCTGACAAGTGTTCATCAGTGATTTTTCAAATTAAAATAAAACTATTATTAACAATTCTTCCTTTCAATAAAAAAGAAGTCTGTTCAAGGGTTTTGTTTGTGTGGTTTTGATTTTAAAAATGATAGTATAAACCTGACTTGTGAAAAAAGGATAAAGGTTTAGGTGGAAGACCAAGCAAACAAGTCCACGGGAGCGTCAGGCCCTGCATTTCCCTGGGGACTCTCTGGAGGCACAGCGGCCAAGGGCCTGGCACCCACCCTCCGTCTGCATCGCAGGCTGAGTGTAGCTAATACTGTGCGTATGCCCGCATCCAACATTCCCTTTCAGACTGCACGTACTCTCGGCTCCAGTCATCCTGCAGACTCTTATGTATGTACATACAGAATCCTTATTTCTTCCAAACCATCCCTAACACGTCACCCATTTTTACTGATATTGTTAATCTATAAAACACAGAGACATATAAAAGCTAAAACGTATTGCTTTGAATAAAGAAAGTGCGTAAAGCCAACATATGCAATTGTTTGTCACTTCATTTTCAACCAATAAAACCAAACTCCTTTAGGTTTATGAATAATACTGAAAAAATAGTGAATCTGATTATTCTATAAGATTTCACACAAGGTGCCTTCATTCTCAGCTTGTCCTTAACACTGAGGCACTGAGTACCTTAATGAGTGGAGCTCTGGCTTGAAAAATATAGAAGGTACAAATATAGAGAATTTTTAGGATAAAAACATTTTCTGAAATATAAAAATGATTTCTATGTTTCAAAATAATAACTTTAGATTCTCTTTTCAGTTTTGGGTTTAGTAACTAAACTGCTACTACCCAAAGTGTTGTTGTGGTTTAAAAAAAAAAAAGTTATAAAAGATAATAATACGGTTTTAAATACAAAGTTATGCGGAGTCACCAACATCCATGGATCATCAGTATCGAAAGTTCAAGTTCTTGCTAAGAAACCCCCTCAACAGTTTAGTCATAAAATAAAATCCCATTATAAAAAACTAGCTTTAAAAATCTCTACACCTCAATGATTGCAAGAATTTCCCAGCATAGTGTCAGTAACAAAGAGAACTGTTCTGAAAATACAACCTCTAAGATGTGTGCAACTACCGCAAATCCAAGCAGAGCCCGACACCACCACCCCCAGTCCACAGGCTTCTTTGTCAGCACCTTCCCAAGTTCAAAGTCCTGGGCTCTGCATAGTCCCCTCTGTGCTCTGCCACTGCTACTGTACCATCTATGTCCCTGTGACCCAAGACGTGAGGAGAGAGTCTGAGTTGGGCGAGCACTTTTTTTCTTTTTTATAAGCTGTAAATGCTTCATGTGATTGGGTCCCCAAAAGAAGTCGTGGGAGCTTATATGAGCCTTGAGCTTTTCAGAAACTGAATGAGAACTCTGTAGACAAACGTGTACTGGCAGAGGGTCTGCACCATCATCATCCTCTGCCGCCTCAGCATGTCCAGCACTCGTGGAATATCCAGCACCTAGATGGAGAGAAACGCAATGATGACCAGGACTGCCCTGGGCAGGGAAGGGCCGGGGGAGCCGGTGCACGTCTGCTTAGAACAAGGACTGGCTGAGACACCTTAGCAACTTCTACAGCAAAAAACCAAACCAACCACCACAGCCTTCTTCCGGCTAATTCTCTCTACAGTGACAGTGTCCTTCACCAGCCCCTGGGTGGAGGAGTTCACAGATTCTGTCTGGTTAGACAGAAATGACCACATCTCACCAAATACCAGGATTGTTGCTGTTGTGTGCCGTGAGTCAGAATGGACTCCTAGCTGACCCTCCAGCAGGCTCTGAGAGGCTATAAATCACATGAGAGGAGATTGTCCATTTTTCTCACACAAGCAACTGATAAGATTCAAACCCTATACCTCTGTGCGGCCAGCTCAACTCCCTACCACTCAGCCACCAGAGCTGTCGAGACACCAAGAGGTAACAGAAATGGAAATGTGGTGAGTGCTATCAGTATGTAGTTCCTTACAGATGCCTTCGATGGCAAAGGTGTTCCAGAGGGAGAAAAGGGTTCTGGGCTCAAACTGGAAAAACACTGGTGAAAACCAGATCAGACAGCTTGCTTTATTGTATTCAGAGGCCCCATGTGACCCGCAGCACTGCCCCAGGAAAAGCCAGCCATTTTCCCGGCTTTAATCTTTATGGCAGCAGAGAGAGCACCAAGTCTTTCACCTCTGGACCTGCTGAGTAGGGAGCTAAGTACTGAACTCTCTGCACCACCATGGCCCTTAACAACTTTCACTGTACAAACTCTCAGAGTCTTTAACACTAATAGGTTGTGCGAATCTCTAAGGAAGGATATAGGCTTCTGTCATGCAACACATGATGTGATAGGCATCTACAGCCAATAAGTTCAAGGAAATGTGTTCAAAAAGAACTAGTAGGCTACTACATCACCCTCCTTCCCAGCTGGTTCCCACTCCACTCCTGCGCCCAGCTCGTGAGAAAGAATCACCTCGTTGTGCTCCAGACAGGCGATCATGATCTCTGACAAAATGACCACGCCAGTCCTGCCCACACCAGCACTGCAGTGGACCAGTAGTGGAGGGTTGGGGCTCTTTGGTTCACTGGTACTATTCGTATGGCGTCGAACAGACTGGATCTCTTCAAGGTATGCTGTCGGGGGGAAAAAAATCAACAGATAGAAAAGTGCTGAGGGATTCAGGAAATCAAAATAACACCTCAGCAGGAAGAAGCAGGAAAGGATTGCAGGTGGAAATGAGAAACACAGGGCAGAGGTGGGGAGAGTGCTACGGCACAAAAGGAATTATGTCTGGACAGCTGAAGGGAAAACTGATTTGCTCTGTAAATTGTCACCTGAATCACAGTAAAAAGTTAAAAAACAAAACTAAACTCATGACAACCCAATTTTCAGAGAGGCTTTGTTGGTGAAGACACTTAGTTAAGAGCCTTGAGTGCCAAGAGTCAGCTGGTCATCAGCTGACAGTGTGTGCTTTTGGGCAAGTTAGTGACTGTCTTCCCATCTCTTCTCATCTACAAAAATAAATGGAGTAGAGACTCAGCTCAGGCCATCTAAGATGCAACTATGTGTCTCTCTCTGCCCAGGAAAAATACAAAGCAAAAATAGCCAAAAATAATTAGTACAAATATTAATGGACCACACAAAGCTCACCATCCACAACCCTGAGACCAGAAGAACTAGACTGTGCCCGGCTACTACTGCTGCTCTTCTGAAAATGCTTCACGGCAGAGGGCCTTGGGCAGAGCAGACTGAAAATATGGAACAAAACTGACAGTCATAAAAATGGCTAGCTCTAGCCGGCTGCTACGGGCTTCGGGTTTGGGGTCCTGGAATCATGGCCCAATTTGTCCGTAACCTGGTGGAGAAGGCTCCGGGGATGGTAAACGCTGCTGTGACTTACTCGAAGCCTCGATTGGCCACATTTTGGCACTATTCCAAGGTGGAGCTGGTTCCTCCAACCCCTGCTGAGATCCCTACAGCTATTCAGAGCCTGAAAAAAATAGTCAATAGTGCTCAAACTGGTCGCTTCAAACAGCTCACAGTTAAGGAAGCTCTGCTGAATACTTTGGTGGCCACTGAAGTGTGCATGTGGTTTTATATCGGCGAGATCATAGGCAAGCGTGCGATCATCATCATCGGCTATGATGTTTGAATGCATCAGATTATACTTCATTTACTATTTGTTTATTCTTGGACCATGTGTGATAAGATTAATATCTCAATAAAATAGATAATATGGAAAAAAAAATGGCTAGCTCTGCTGATATGATAAGAGACCGGCAGAGCTCCTAAAACTCTGACCCTTAGTTATTCTTCCATCCTGGAACAGAATTCACCCCCATGGATTAACTTTCCCCTAAACAACAGGATCTAGAGCTGGAGAATGATTATGAGAAGGGAGCTTCTGACTCCTCAGAACAATCAAGCAAACAAACAAGCAGATCAAAAGGACAGCATTTGTCTAGGATAACACTCAGCAAGCAGAAAGAGGTGGGGCAGAAGGATTACTCAGAAAGAGAATCAAGGAGCAAGCAGGAAGAGTCCATTTATAATGCAGGTATTAGAATTAATGACATGCACCAAAATATGCACGAATGGCTACAAGGAAAAGCACTTTTGTCTGTAACCTCACTAAAATCACAATAAAATCCAGAGAGGAAATAAGTCCAAAGCATATTCAAGACAACAATAAGGAACTTCTCTCAGGAACCGGAAGCTCTCTCTCCCCACTGGTTTACCAGCTAGAGAAGGCTGTCCAGGGAACTAAGACACTCACATAAGAACCCTTTGAGGTCGTCGGGACAGCCGTGCTCAGGCCAATCTGTGTACTGCAGATGCCACACCGTCCTCTCCTGCCCCGTGAGGAGGTGCTTCATCTTCAAGCCTGTGGTGGCGTAGCACCCAGAGTCCGTGCGGAAGCGGGTGGTGATCTTGAACCGCCCGTAGGTGACAGTGTTGTGCCTGGAGCCAAGTCGTGGCCAGTACCTGAAGCTCTTCTCTCTCCCGCCCTCCTTTAAAAGACAAGGGTTTGGGAGGAGAACAACAGGATAAGAGTGGCTAGATTAATAATGAACATTGCACTGGAACAGATGAAGGAAAGAACTTTTTAAAAGGAAAACACGATTAGGCATTTTATGTACACAGTCCAAAATAAGAAGTACATCGCAAAGAGGACTGGGGGGTTGGGTAATTGTGCAACAATAAATGAATTTTAAAAAAAAAAGTGAATTGGGGAAGGTGAAAGGGAAGGAGAGGGGGTAAAAATGTACAACAATGAATGAATGAAAATCTAACTTTTTTAAAAAAATTCATTTTATTGATTTTAATGAATGTGTACAGAGATTTTGGATTTCCATTCATTCACTGTTGCATTTTTCTCCCTGCCCACCCCTCCCCCCCAGTTCATTCTTCTCTTTGAAAAGTAAAAGAAAACTTCTTTCATTGGTATACAATCCCTCCCTCCACACACACACCCTGAGTACACTCCGTTAGGCAACTTTCATTCTGGAAAATCTAACTTTTCTGTTAACTTAAGCTAAAATCACAATTAAAATAAAAACTTTATTTAAAAAAAAGACAGGCACACACAAGGCAGCACTCCTGAAGTCTAGAAGCACCATCCTAATTCCTGTCTTCCCCCGAAAGGTCAGGCCCCTCTGGGATGAACATAAACTCTACTCCTAAGGTGGAGGAGGAGAAAATTCACCAAGAGAAACAAGAGCTTACCTCCTCTGCCGTCACCATTGCTATAATGGCAACCCCCTGTTCCCACACCATCTGCCAGAAGTCCTGACACGTATTCTGCAGTGGTCCCTGCGTGGCAATGTAATTCCACTCGATTCCACTGACAGAGACCTGAAGTTAGAAAAGGTAATAATGTTGGGAGGATGACACACAAGGCTGGGGTTCACGGCCATTCAGTCCTCATTCGGCCTCACGGCAACCTCACATGAACAGAGCAGAACTGCCTGTTCCACAGCTGGAGACTGTGACCTGTCGGAATGGCATATTATCAGGCCGTACCTCCGAGGTGCTTCTGGGAGAGTTCTATTTTCACAAAGTTAACTGAACCAAAGACAGTAAGCAAGTCACCACAGCTCACAGCTGTGGCATGTGAGTTCACAGTACACACATTTATCAACTCAACTCATTGCCACTGACTCCGAGCTGGCTGTAGAGGCTGTAAATCCCAAGGGAGGAGAATGCTCATCTCTCTCCCACAGAGAAACTGGTGGATTCGAGCCACCTGCTTTTGGGTTGGCAGCACAACTCTTTACCCACTAGGCCACCACATAAACTTACAGACAGGTTAAGTGTGTTACTTCTACATAGTAACAATGCAATAAACAGCTGTTCCAACTGTTGCTATGGTGGTGGCTTTCCAAATAGATGAAATAAAAATAACATCACAGCACCCATCATTCAAACACAATCTTGCCTCACAAAGTACTGAGTTAAACACGCCAGGGAAACATATGAACAATTAAGCCTAAGTTGAGTAGTTCCTAGGTGAGGGCTGGGGGCAGAACTTTTCTATCTAAAATAAGCTTACCTCTGACCTTCTCAAGTGACTCTGACTGACCTCTACAGTAATAACTAACAAGTTTCCCACTTAAGATTCTGTGTTCTTGAGAACAGCCTGGATTTGTGATCAAAAGACCTGGGTTACATTCTGTGATACTAGTCACCGTTTTCCGAGTGTCCACTCTGTGTCCCATTGGTGGCTCTCCCCTTACCCATCAAGGTCAAGACTTCACATGCACTTAGGAAGCCGCACAGTGGCAGGTACCATGACAGGTACCAGAGTCACAACAGCAAATAAGAGCTGGGCAGGGTGAAACACAATATACATGGATAATACATAATGTAGACGAATTTGAGTGTATATGAATTTTTTTATGCAAACCAATATAAAATTAAAATAAAGTGGGGGTGTGAAAAAGCTGGGCAGGAAGGGTCTGAGGGGCAGCCTGGGGGACGGGTATCATCGTTTATCTGAACATGGATACAGCGAGGCAGCACAACGCAGTGGTGGGTGTAGAAGGCAGCCCAGATCTATGCAACTGTGAAGCTTACGCTCTCCCCACTATCCCTCAAGTTGTTCCTGAAGATTCTGGAATATTGTAGAACATCCAGTCATGAGGAATGCAGGGATGGCTTAAGGGGTAGAGGGAGCTCATTTGAAAAGGAATTATCTTTACTGTTTCTAACTACTCTCTTATCAAAATATTACTTGCAACCTAAAAAAAATGTGGGACAGAAGGCAAACAACATTTGGCTACAGGCACTCAGAAGGCAATGTCTACTTCACGAAATAAAAGGGCTGCCGTCCAGCCAGCAGGAGCTGAGCGCAGCACAGGCGGAGGGCGCAGCGCGTGGTCTTGCCCACCCACCTGCTGTGAATCATCCTTTTTCCATTTGAACTGCTGAAACTTTACCCTGATTACATGGTACTTTCCTGTTTCTGGTTAAGAACTGCTTGCTCTAAGAACAAAATGATGTTTTTTAAAAAAATCTATTATTTTTTTAAATAGTAGCCTTTGAAAATAGTAGATTATAAAGAGTGTATAAAAACCCAGATGGTACCTCTGTAAAAGCCGCTTCTATGAACACCAGCAAGCATTTCTGCTCAAACACACACAGGTGCATGAAGTGAAAAGCTGGCAACTCAGCTGCGCACAGGTGCTCCCAGGAGCCAAAGCAGAGGTCTCCATACTGGGAACGGAAACAGTGCTCTGAAGCCAGGCAAAGGGGCCGGGGCCGAGCTGCACCCCTGTATCCACCGGGCACAGTGGCTCCCAACCCGCCTGACGGGCACTCGTGATAAGCCTCGTGATCAGCCTCGCTCAGGGCGTGGTTTCCCGGCTTAAACTTAGGGTCTGTCACAGCAGTTCCAAACTGGGGTGTTTTTAAGAACCAGACATGAATCATGCATAGAAAAGTGGAGGGTGGACGGCCACAGTGACTAGAGCAATGTGTTCCAGTGTGTCAGGGATTGTGAGGATGGCACAGAACAGGACAGGGTTCAGATCTGTCATTCAGAGGGTTGCTATGAGTGGTACTCGACTCAGTGGCACCTAACACCACCAGTTCAAGACTGCGGTTGGCGTTCTGGACTCTGCACATCGCTCTCACCTTCATATGTGAGGCATTGATGTAACCAGTATTGTTTTCTTTAGTTGGGACCAGCTCCACCCTGGCATCATCATACGGAAGGACGTCTTGGAATCGATTTCTGTCTGCGTTTTCTGGAAGCTGCGCAATCGAGCACTCCCCATCTCCTGGTCGTTTCTTGAGAATTCTTTCATACTCTGTGAATACCATTCCTTGTTCTAACCGCTGTTCCAGAATTTTACACTGAAAAGACAGAACACACAGAACATTTTGAGTACAATTACATATTATGGCTCCATTTTAACCGTACATCTTGTTTTCTGTGCCCAGCCTATCACTAGTCCAATGTAAAAAAGGCTGGTTAAGAAGATCCACAATGTATATTCACGAAACACAGTGTATATGAATGATTAAAATTATTAATAAGAAATAAAAAAATAATAACAAAAAAATGAAACATATAAACTATGTTTAAATTTGTATGTCTCCAAGATAACTAAAAAAGTTCTCATTTGTCACCTCAGAGGTTGCTAGGGAATAACACCTTTTATTAAAGACACGAAAATAAAAGGAAATCTAATGCTAAAAAAAAAATGGCAAGAAGCTGTGCTGCAATTCCCAAGGTGCGTGGTTTGAATCCACCAGATGCTCTGCTCGAGTAGGAGGGGTAGTCTCCTCTGTGCTAGACAGATCTGATTTGATGGTACACAGTAACAAAAACAAAACAAAAAAGATGATGAAATAAAAAAAAAACCACAACAAAAAACCAACAAAACACACTGAAACTTTTAAATAAGACCTACAAAGACAAAAATATAATCACTGGTGAGAAGCCAATGTCTACTTAAAACTGCAAACTGGCCTAGATCAATTTGTTGAAATTACATCTAATCTAAATCTCCAGTCAATCTACATTCAAGACCACTACGAAACAAGGTTCTCCTGGGGAACAGCAACCCCAGAGTAGGATAGTCAACTTCAATGTCTATGAGTAAATGCTTCTGCGCTATACAAAAACCTGAAAATAACCATACATTTAGAAAACCATCACCAACATTCAACTTTAAGTAAGTATACTGACTGTCGCTCAGAATCCTCCAAGCCTGTCTGACTTCACCACAGGGGAAAAACCTCAAACCAGACCAACAAAAAAAAGTCTCAATCCAAAAATTTCAAAGGCAGTTAGTTCAGTAAAACTGAAGTGTTTGGATGCGTTTAAAATACGAAAGTTTATTCACGGAATAGATTTTCAACATAATAAAAACAGCTTTTGGTTTTTTTCCTAAATATACTTATATGCATTCATGTGCAGATTTCTTCACTCTTTAAAACCATCAAAAATCAGCGCCACTACAAATGGCTTAAAGAATTTAAAGAACATTCACAAGGAAAAAAAGTAACCAGCATGATTAGCCTGAGATAATCAATTAAGACACAAACCTCAACACTGGCCTCAGTTCCGAAGCTCAGATCCCAGAATTCCTTAGCGCTCATTTACAGTAACTAGTGAACGTGTCTGAAAACCTGCTAGGACGTCATGAAAACACTGTACCATCCGCAGTCCTGAGCAGCCTCCTCCCCGGGTCTGGCACCTACCCGCTCATCATTGGTTGCTCTGGTAGGCACTTCCTTTCCTTCATCAGGCAGGGGCAGCCTCGACAGAGAGAGTCCATTGAGGGCGGCCAATTTCAGAGGACCAGGTTTTCTTGCATCTACTCGACTCTTTTTCATGCCCTGTGAAAATATTTACATGTACATATAAAATAAGCACAAATCCGCGCCCTCTGTGAAAAGTGGAGCTGAAGACTGGAAGCAAACAGGAAGGGCCCTGCTTGCCAACAAGCATGCAAGAGATCACCCGCCTTCACACATTTGTTTAACAAACACCAAGAAGACATTCCTTTCAAGGCCAAGGCCCTGATAAGTTTTGCAGATAGCAGGTTTTGAAATGTAATTGGTTACAAGGCTCCGTTGTAATGAGAGGCGAGGATCCAGGCAGGCAGCATTCCTTAGCAGAACTCCTCCATTTCAACAAGGGACACAAAAAAATTGGGCCAGTCCCCTGAGTAATAAGCTTTTATTATGTGAGAGAAAAAAAATTCTTTATTCAAATCACTCTGAACAGTTCTGGTGGGAGCTCTGTGTATTGCCTTCCCATATTCTAATCTGCATACTGCAGCAGGCTAATATAACCTGGGTTGTTTTACTATATTTCTCAGGGATGTCAATCCTATAAGGTTTCACTGGGGAAATAAAATTAGACTGAATGAAATGTCCCCCATAACTTCAGGAGGACAGGAAAAGAAAGTGCCATGGAAGGCTGTCTCCTGAAAACAGGTGTTTCCAGAAATTCATTACTAAAGCCAATCATTTTCTAAGGCAAAGCCAGCCGAAGAATACTGACTCTCCTTCAATATTCTACACTTATGTCGAAGTCATAAGGATGATAAGACTAGCAATAATCAAATAGCAACGGTTTTCTCAGCTCCGCCACATAAACAAAATCAGCGTTAGTGCAGCTCTCGTGTTGATGGCCTAGTGGATAAGGAGTTGCACTGAAACCCAAAACAAACAGAGTAAATTCACAGCTACTCTGCAGGAGAAAGATGGGCCAACTCCTCAGAAAGCTGGGATCCCATTCTGACTTGAGAGCACATGCGCTCAAGGCCCAGGAGCAAAAGGAAAAGACTTAAATGAAGAGCAAAGTTCCATATAATTGTTGCTATACTGGGAAACAGTGACTGGTACCTAGCTCGAAAAGTTAACTGATATTTGTCAATGTTTTACTGAATTATCGGTGAACATTTACACAATAAATTGGGTTCCCACTTGACAACTTCCATACACATTTTCCAGTGGTATTAGTTACATTCATCATCATGTGTTAGCATTCTCTTCAATTGTGTCCTATTTTATCTGCATTTGTTTTCAACTCTGTTGTTAGGATTTTAAAATGAGCTCCCCGCATGATGAGATCTGGACCAGGTATGGGGGGATTCGAAGTTACATGGCCAGTCCCACCCCTAGCTGATCACGTGACTTTAGGAAAGTCTTTTTTTTTTTTTCTCAGCTCAGGTGATGTGATTCCTAACACTGGGGCTGCTAGGGCCAAGGTTGATGGTTTAAGTCCACCAGCCACTCAGCAGCAGCAGGATTGAACGCTCTTCTAGAGATTTACAGCCTCGGAAACCTGACCCAGAGTCACCAGGAGTCAGCACGGACTCAGTGGCAGTGGGCTGTATCTCAGCTCTAAAGACAGGCCCACAGACTAAAAGGCTCCTATTCAGGCTAAAAGCCAAACTGCACTGGGGAAATCTGTCAGGGAACTTTCCAGAGTACTGAGAAGCAATGATGTCAGTCTAGTGATTAAGGAGCACCTGGTCCAGACCATAATCTTCGCAATTATTTGCTAGGCATCAGAGGGCTGGGCAATGATTAAGGATGACAAAAGAACTGATGCCTTCAAGTTGTGGTGCTGGAGAGGGTTCTTGAACACACCATGGACCGCCAAGAAAACAAACAGTTCTGTCTTGGAGAGGGTAAAAATTAAGTTTCTCCTTGGAGGTTAGGATTTTGAGGCTCTGACTAACATACTTTGGCCATACGGCCAGGAGGGGACTGGTCCTTGGAGAAGGACATCATGCTCAGAAAGGTAGAGGACAGCAAAGGAGAGGAAGACTCCAGATAAGACGGAACTGATACAATGACTAGGGCATTGGGGGGGGGGTAGGTTTGTCGGAGTCAGTGAGAATGGCTCAGAAGAGTGCAGGCTTCAGAGTTGTTGTACATGGAGTCACTATGCGTCTCAGGCGACTCAACAGCAATTAACAACAAAATCAATAATAATGTGTCCTGAGGGCGTTCTGGGGGCCTAGTGGTAAGAAGCATCCCAAAGGCATGCAGGTCAAATCCACAAGCTGCTCCACAGGAGAAGGACAGGCAGTCAATCTCCTCCCATCAGTGTGATTCCCGGCCTCTGAAAAACAGCCAGAGGGTCAGTTATGAGTCAGTCAGCCATGAGTGTTGTGTACCACTCAGTGACAAACACCACCAACAACGTGCACTGAAAACACTGCGGGAACTAACAAAAGGCTTGGGGTGGGGGGAGCACCTATTTGTAGGATCGGCCCATTTCTGTTTGTTGTTGTTTTTGTTATGTGCCATCGAGTCGTTTGCGACTCACAGCGACCCTATATACAACAGCCCTAAACCATGTTCTATCCTGTGCCAATCTCACTGCTTCTGACACACTCATCCTGATTACCCCAGTCACTGAATCAATCCACCTCATAGAGGGTCTTCCCCTCCTGCGCTGTCCCTCCACCCTACCAAGCATGATGTCCCTCTCCAAGGACCTGTCTCTCCTTACAACATGTCCAGAGTATGTCAGACGAAGCCCCAGAATCCTTGCCTCCAAGGAGTAGTCTGGTTTAACCCTCTCCAGGATGAATCTGTTTGTTTTCTGTTTGTACATTTATCAATTCTTTTTTTTAAATTTTTTTATTTAGAGAATACTTTATTAGTTTCTGTAATCAAACCCATGTAGATAAGACCTTACATATTTAATACAGTACGTTACCCCTGTACAAATGGAAAAAAAATTAACATTTCTAGACCAATATGGCTGTTAATTTCTGTACAATGCCAACTCAACACGGTACATTTATCAATTCTTTAATTGAATTTGTTTTTCAGTTCTTTCAGCTTGGAAAATGCCAAATGAGTTCTTCCCTTTTTATTCCCTGACTCCACCTCTTTGGAAAAGAGTTAATACCTGTGAGTCGTGGCATTAGAGAAGAGTGCTAAATATGCCACAGACTGTTGAAATAACTAAACAGGTATATCTTAGAAAAGGTGCAGCCAGAGTGCTCCTTGGAGGCCAATGATGGCAAAGCTTCATCTCTCATACTTTGGATATGCTGCTAGGAGAGGCTATTTCTTGGAAAGGGACGTCACGCTTGGAAAGGTAGAGGGTCAGGGTAAGAGAGGAAGAACGCCATCAAGATGGACCGACACAGTGACTGCAGTGATGGGCTCGAGTGTATCAGAGATTAGGAAGATGACACAGGATAGGGCAGGGTTCAGGTCTGCTGTCCATGGGGTCACTATGAGTCGCACTCAGATTGATGGCACCTAACAATAACAACATGGTGTAAATACTCTCACCACATCCAGTTTCAAACTACCCATATCATAGTAACAAAGTTCTGAAAAATGTTACCAGTTTGTGCCAGTATGCCAGCATCACACTGCTTTAAAATGATTCAGAGTATCTCACACTGATAAGCTGGATGAAGATTGTTCTAAAACCAGTGTTTGATGAATGGTGCATGTACTCAAAATTAGATTGAAATATTCCTTAAATCACCTTTAAAAGTCACAGTTCTACATGTGTATCCTGCACAGAGATTTCCTATTTACAAACTGTTCTGCAAGGGTGAAACAAAAAGAAAAACAGCTCTGTTCCTGCACCAGCACTCAGACCAGTCTGCCTTTACAGCAAACAAGTCCCTGGAGCACAGAAGAGTAGAGAATTCTCAACTGTTCCCGCTTACCAGCAATTTAGTGGTAAAAGAGCTGTGCTGCTATCCCAATGGCACCAGGTTCAAATCCACCTGTTAGTCCATGGGAGAAAGATGGGCAATTTCCTCCTGATTTACTGCCTTTGAAAACATGCTGGAGGGTCATTTGTAGAGTTACTTAGTATATAATTTTTTTGTAAACAATTAAGATACTGGTAATCTGCGTTACCATGAAGAGGCCGGAGTGTTTAGGAGGAACTGTGGTTTCTCAACCCTTGGGAATTGGTAGGTTTTCTGCAATCCAACCCAGAGTGATTCATACCCACTGAGCACATTCTGTTTTCCAAAACCTTTTTTCATTCCCTTCACAACTGTATGGGGTCACTGTATTTTTCCGATACAAAAACTAAGTCAGCGAGAGATAAAACTGTTTGTTCAAGGTCATGGTGCCTCTTCTTTATATAAGGAAATTGGTGGGAAAGAAATTAAGATTAATCTTTCCTTGAAATAGTTCAGATCACAGAATTGTGAAGGCTTTTTTTTTTTTAAAAATGTTTAACTTACTGTGTGTCTTTACGCTATATCACAAGGCAGCCAACACAGGTCTCCTGGGCTATCTGCCTGGAAGCCAAGGTTCTGGTGTGAGAAGGGAACTGCCCGCCAAGCAAGGCACTGGGACATGGCAGGCCTAGACCCTGACCCTGCTTTTCAGATCTGGGTCCTATGTGAGCCATATGTGCCATGTGTGTTCTCTGATGAGACACTCACACGTTCTGCTGGACACGGGGTCAGTATATGAGTTGAAATCAACTCAAGAGCACCAATAATATAGTATCTTGTGTGTTTCCCCTGATTCTGAGGAAGTTTGCAGCATTACAGAGGATGGAATATACCAGGAAGAACTCCACCTGAGAGCTGGGCCCTGCAGCCTGATGACAGTCTGAAGCAATGGCAGAGAGGGAGTGCCTAGGAGACAGAATGCCACTGGGATTCTACAGGGCAGGGGGTACGGAGGGAGGGCTGTGGGAAGTGAGGGGCAGGGCACCTGTGCACCACCACATGACACAGGGGACAGTCTGCAAAACAGAGCCACAAGGGCTTGACCAAAGACTGGGGACCCAAAGTCAAAGGAATGGGAAAGCTTAATCACTCACTCATTACTTAAGAGACTATAGCAGATGCTACAGTTCAATGCGGAGCAGGGCAGAAAAGATCAGGTGACAAAGGTAATTATGGGTCTAAAATCCCAGCTCAGCCACTTACTAGTGATCTGATCTCTCAGCATCTACTTTGTCATCTGATAAATGGGGTAATAACAGGCTTGTTGTAAACAGGTGGTAAAAAACGTGACAGCAATCTGACGATGCTTCACCTAGGTAAGAAGAGCTTCGCTGACAGTGACTGTTCCCAGCAGGGTTAGCAAGTGGCCTCCTCACAAGGAGCTCTGCTTGGAGGCCCAGTTCACTGCTCCGTTCCCTTAAGTCATCTGAAGCTCTCAGGTTAGTCACGCTGACAAAGTGCCACCTTCCAGACCATAGAAACTAAATCACTCTCCAGAGCACAGAGGTCATAGACAAACAATCCCAGCTGTAGCCACAAGAACTCCAGCCCGGAGAACCAGGAGCACATCTCCACCTGCCACTCAGGAGCCGACTTGGCAAATACAGCCCTGGCCACAGGCCGCTAGGCCAGCCCTGGGCAAAGGCTGCTATATCAGCCCTGATCATAGGCCTCTATGCCAGCCCTGACCACTGGCCGCTACGCCAGCCCTGACCACTGGCCGCTATGCCAGCCCTGATCATAGGCCTCTATGCCAGCCCTGACCACAGGCAGCTATACCAGCCCTGACCATTTTTAACAGGCCGGAGGCAAAACAATGGTCACTAAAGCCAGAAAATCGTCAACTTCTCTTCCTCTGACACACCATGACTGTAAAGATACCATTCTTTTTACTCCACCAGACACAGATGTTTCCAGGATTTCTCAGAATTCCAACTAATCCTCCATAAATGCGCACAGATAAACCTCAAATGTGTTTTAAACAAGATAAAAAGAGAGCACAATGTTAGAAATTAAGTAAGTCCAAAGTAAAGGGTGGGGGGAGGATGGCAAACATAGACCTGAGTTAAGAAGATGATGGGACTAACACAGAAGATGCTGAAGAAACTTAGAGTGTTAACCCTAGCTGCGAGCCCTGGTGGTGCAATGGCTGAGTACTGGGCTGCTAACCAAAAGTTCAGTGGTTCAAACCCACCAGCTGCTATATGCGAGGAAGATGGGCAGTCTGCCTCTGTAAAGAACCCCTGTGGGGCAGCGCCGCTCTGTCCTTCAGGGTTGCTGTGGGTGTGAGCTGATTGGACAGCATGGAACTGGGACTGAGTTTAGTCCTAGCTAAGGAGTCCTGCAGGGGCACATATGGTTAAGTCTAAAGACTGGTGGTTCCAGCGTCCCTTTTCAGCAGGAAGTAGCTAAGAGAATACGCCATCCCCTTTTCCTTATGAATCAGGGTGAAGTCTCTCTCAGGGAGGAGTGATAGGGAATGGCAAAGGACACACTGACAAAGGAGATTAGTCAGAACTGACTTTGACAAGCACTGTGGCAATTGGACAATTAAAACAGACATTCGGGTGGCGGGGAAGAAGAACAAACTGGGGAGGAGGGTGGAGAGAATGGTGCAGCAATGAAGGAGTGAAAGCCCAGAATCCCTGTGAGTGTTCACTGAAACTAATAAAATTTAATAATAATTAAAAAAACCAGTAAAAAAAAAAGGTACTGTAAATAATGACACTGTAAAATTATAATTAGTGTTACAAAACAAAGCAGATACGAGCAAATAAATGGAAACCAATTAAAAAGAAATAAAAAACAAAACAAAACAAAAAAAAGACTGGTGGTTCAAAACTGCCCAGATGCACCTCTGAAGACAGGCTTGGGCACCTGCTATTGAAAGGTCACACGTGCCAGCTCTAAGGAGCACCTCTACTCCACACCCATGGGTTGTCGTGAACGGGCATGAACTCCAGGCAACTAACCACCACCATAACACTCCCAGCTGCTCAGAGAAGCCCACAACTCAAGAGGCCCTGAGGGCTTCTTACCCCTAACGGCGGAAGTCCCTCCACGATGTTCTTCTTTCCTGACAGGAGATCTGACACGGGCCTCTTCTTCAGAGAATCCCTCCTGGCTCGGTACCGGCCTGACGTGGTGAGGTCGGACTCAGACATGGAGGGCATGAGCCTCCCATCCCTCCGGAGCCGCTGGGCATCGCCCATCGGGTACAGGGGGCCCACGTCCTTGGCCCTCTTCTCGGCCTCGGTGACCAGGGGCTTCGGCTCGAGGATATGTAGTGGGCCGGCTGGAGGGCCGCAGGCGCAGCCCAGCAGTGGCTCTGTGGAGTAAGTGCCCGCGGGCGCCGCCAGCTGCCGGGGCTCCTGGGCACACAGGGCCAGCGCGGCCCCGGCTTTGCTGTCCTCTTCACCCTCCTCCTCTTCCTCGCTGCTGTGGATCAGCATGGTGGCGTCGGAGAGGGACTTCTTGTGGTCGTATCTCAGGCCCTCCTGCTCGTCGGGACCCTCCGGCCTCCTTTCGGCGAACACGTTGGGCTGGGAGCCGGCGGAGAAGGCCGCCGAGGCGGACATGGTCCTCTCCTTGAGCCTCATGCCCTCCAGGCTGTGCGCCAGGCCCGCGATCTCGATGCTGTTCCTCTTGTGCAGCGGGGCGTGGCGGGCCAGCGTCAGGGGCTCGCTCACCTCCTGCAGGGAGTGGGCCACCGGCAGGCTGGCCTCCTGGAAGGTCTGCACCGAGTGGTGGACTCGCCGCGTGATGAGGTCCGGGTTGCTGCTGCTTATGTACAGGTGGTGGGACAGGTCCGGGGTGCTGTTGGCGGGCCTGCAGGGGTGGTGGTAGGGGGGCGGCGGGCGGTACACCTGGGTCTTCATGATGTTGGGCGCCGGGTAGTCCTGGGCCTGCAGCTGCACGTTGGTGAGCTCGGGCACACTGACGGCGCCCACCACGGGCCGCCGCTCTGCGGGGTAGGGGTAGGGGCTCTGCCGGTGGAAGCTGTAGTTGAGGTGGAAGGGGTAGGGGGCTGACTGGGGGGCGGCGAAGTGCGCATGCTCGCGGATCTCGGGCTGGCTGTAGACCAGGGCATCGGGCCTGCTGTAGGCGTGCGAGCTGCCCAGGCTCAGGTTACGCAGCGAGTGGCTCTGCCGGTCAGCGGGCACCAGGCCTCGGTTCAGCTGCTTCATCACCGTCTCGTAGTCCGGGGTGGGGCGGTAGGAGGGGGGGATGAGGGCGCTGTGCCGGTGTGAGGGCACGAAGTCGGGCCTCAGGACTTCGCTGCCCGTGATGCTGGGGTTAGAGGACATGGGCGACGGCTGCAGGTAGGGCTGGGGGTTGTTTAAGGAGTTGGTGCTGTGCGCACTGTAGACACTGCCGTTGCGGATGCGACCGCTGAAGTCCAGCTGGGCTCTGTCCAGACTCGTCTGAGAGTGACAATAACATCCATTCTGGTTGGTCACAAACAGGTTATCTGGGAAGGAAGGGGGAAATATACACTTAAAATGGATTTCAATATGAATTTTTTTTATTTATTAAGTGACACTAATTATCACAGCCAAGTACTGAGAGAGGCACTGAACTGTCATGACGTTCTATGTGGTTTACATGAGACCCTGGGCCCTTTCTCTTGAACCTCAGCATCCTCATTTACAGAACAGGGGTTACTAGTTAGGATCAGGCGCTCAACAAAGATCAGCCAAATCCAAGCCCAACATCAAGAGTGCAAGCCATTCAAAACCACAGACCTCTACATCAGCCTCCTTCCTAACTGCCAAAACTGGAAAGCAGCCAAGGGTCCTTCGAGATGGATAAACAAACCACAGAACATCCATACAAGTGAGTATGTATCGATTAAAAAGGACTGAGCTAATAAGCCACATCCTACTCCCAAAAAGCAGAGGAGCGTCAAATCACATGGCTAAAACGAAGCAAGCCAGTCTGAAAAGGTCAGATACGTTATGATTCCAACAACAGGACACTCTAGAAAACGCAAACCTGTAGGGATGGCAAAAAGATCAGCGGTTGCCAGACGTTCACAGTGGGAAGGGGACTGAAGAGGGATGAATCGGGGGAGCACTGTGGATTTTTAGGGTAGAGGAACCATGACGCCAGAATGGTCCACACAAAACATCATACATGTGTCAAAAGCGAATGCCTGGGGGTGGGGTGGGCGGGGAGAAAAGTGCAACAATGAATGAATGGAAATCCAAAATCTCTGTAGATGTTCACTGAAATTATTTTTTTTAAAAGTGAATGCCAATGCAGAATATGGGTTAATATAATGTTTTGATGTCCATTCACCAACAGTAATAAACGTACCACACTAACGCAAGATGTTAACAATAGGGGACTGCACAAAAGCAGGGAGGAGATAGAAGAGCTTTTTCTACTGTCTGCTCAATTCTTCTGAAGACCTAAAACGGCTCTGAAAAGATAGATATATTAATTTTTTTAAATACACAACATATTTTTGAGAAAATAAAAGAGCATGTTTTCCTGTAACACTGGAAGCAGCTGTGCAGAATTCTGGGAGTTGGAAGCAGACACAATGTCCGGGGTATCAGGCTAACGCCTCTGTCTCCTGGCTCGGGAGGGACGTGGGATGTAGCCGCGCTGAGGCTGAGCTAAGAACCAATAGTGTGTAAACACACCCTTAAAAAGAATCCATGACTGTGTGCGTGGTCTGGTCGCTCCCAGAACAGCAATAAAAGCGTCAGCTACGGAAGGGCGAGGGAGCAGCAGGCTGTGAGCGGCCCCGGGTCTGCAGTGCTGCCAGCAGGTGTACATGCTGTGCCTCGTTCAGCTGCCGAGAACCAGGAAAACCCCTGGCCTGGCCACCACACTTCAGTAAGAGAGGGGAGCTGTGGCGAGGTTCACGATCAGGAGCTCAATCCACCTGCCAGTGGCCACAGGCAGAGAGAGCTGCCAGGGCCTGCAGTGGGAGTGGCTGTCCCTGCCAATCTGCAGCTCAACTGAAACACCACTATAAGGAAGGGGATCCCTAACCCTACAAAGGAAATCAGCGTCAAGTCCTTCCGAGAAGAGTCCCTTTCAAAAGCAACCTCTCTGATATTCAAAACCTCCATGATGTTTAAGCGACAAGTGATTACCAAAGGGCCAGTCCAAGGTCTAGTGTGTGAACTTTATTCTGACCACTCTCTCTCTCTCTCTCTCTCTCACACACACACACACACACACACACACACAGCTGCTCGAAGAACAAGCCCTTGAATGCCACTCTGCTATTCTTGCGGACACACAACTCTTCCTTGTCACTGGACGGTTTCCACAGCTGGAACATTCTGTGCTCAGTTCAGGCTTACGGACCAGAAGGACAAGCTCAGATTTATCATTTCATTTTCATCAAGTCCCAGTTCTGGTAACATATACTGGGTTCTTCCCACATGCCAGGTACTCCGTGGATGGTGTGACAAGCAGGAGCGTCCTTAACTGGCACAATCACCCTGGCAGACAGTGGGGAACGTGAGGCTGGAGCACAAGAGGATAAGATGGAAAACAGAGGGCTGCTGGTCACCTCTCACGCAGGTGTCAATGTGATTGGTAGGGCAGCATGCCAAGGGATGGAAGTCACGGGCAGTGTCAGAGGGGACAGGAAAGGACACTGATGAAGGGATGGAGGCAGAGTCAGAGAGGGAGGGAGGGTCCAGAGCACTGGAACAGACTTTCAAGGAGAGAGCACTTGGAAAGGGGGGTGAGTGCAGCTTCAAGCGAGCAGCATGGGCCAAGGAGTGAGAGCAAAGCAGCGAGTGAGGAAGAGCACAGAGATTAGCTTAGAAAGGGTGACAATGAAGAGGAACTCACACCACAGACGGAGACAGAGGAGCACAGAACAGCTTAAGGATCTCCGTAGATGGAGGTAAAGGATTGAGAGAACAGAGAAACTGACGGGCAGAGGGACAGGTTTTCTCCCAGGAGAGGAAGGGGCTGGGGTCACAAGCACAAGACAGGAGCAGCACAAGGAGAGGAGAATGAAGCGGAGACAGAGATGTCCTGAGGAGTGTCTCCTGGGAGCCACACCCCAAGCATTGTCCCTCAGCTGCCTACCTCACTGGTCAGAAATCCTCTGCCTTAAACATCAGACTTAGGTGTGTAATGACCGTTGCTTCCCTCTGCCTAACAATTTCCTACCTTAGAATGCAACAGACAGCTCTGCTCTCCAAAGGCCCCTTCCCTAATGCTATGCCGTGGTATTCACTATCTCTAATACCAGAAGCAGCAATCCTGTTACCAACAGTTGTCAAAATCTATCCATCCATCTCTCAAAGTCAGCCTCACCTTTGCCCAGAAAGTTCTTCTTGGTCTCCCCATTATCATAAGTGTCTTCTTGCACTGGAAGGCTCAGAACTTGCTAGCTCTCTTCCAGCAAGTGGACCACGCTCCCTTTGTGTTCATGTTATTTGTATACTTGTCTTTACCCCCGCTAAGCGTCTAAGCTTCTTACGATGTGGACTCACTCGTCTGCATAAATCTCCTTGGCCTTTGGCAGTGCCTCGGATACACAGGGCAGAGACCTGTTCAATAAACGCCTGGGGCTGAGCACTGGAGGCGCTGGTCCACGTGCACAGCTGCCCAGACGAGTTACTTGAAAACTACAGAAATGAAATGTTAAATCTTGCCAAGAAAACGTCTCATGCAGGAAAAAAAAATATCTTGGGTCAAAAAGCAAGAGTAAACTCAAAAGCTGATGGGGCTATGTCAGAAGAACAGCTTTTGGAGAGCAAATTTGGGTCACTGGAATGTCAAATCTTAGTGTACATATTTTACACGTGTCCCTACAAAGTGAATCTTTTCTTCTTCTTCTAGGACAACTTTGGGTCCAGCTTCAGCCAGAATTATCCTGACTTCAATATTACCAAGGCCATGAAGCAGCATTTCACAGATACTTTACTTTACCTTGGGAAGAAGTGTAGGGTTCTGTATAATGTCCGTTATAATGCAGCTGAGGTGGGGGAGGCATCACGTAAGGCTGAGGTTTAGGCTAGGAAGGAAGCAGAAGTTGGAAACAGGGTTAGGACACACGGCCCTATAAATACTTATCCTGTTATATGCATAAAGCAATCCTGTGTTGGTTTCTTTCTCCTCTTTAAAAAATTTCTAAAGGAGTTAAATATATGTAGAAAATGAACATTAAGGGAGCTCTGGTGGCCTAGTGGCAGGAAGCTGCACTGCAATCCCAGAGGTATGCAGTTCGAATCCACCAGATGCTCTGTTGGAAAAGGAGGAGCAATCTCCTCCTGTACCAGTCAGATCCGATTTCACGGTACACACACACACACACACACACACACACACACACACACAATAATAACATAAAATTAAAGAGCATGAACATTAAGATCTTACAGTCTGCAGAAACCAAAAAATATCTCTCAAGACCATTATCCTAAATCACCTTTCGGATGGAAAACTGAAGCCACCTCTGCAGGTCACCTTTCAGCCAAATGACAGACTCAGTAACAAGGCACCCTTGCTGTGGAGTAGGGGCCAACTCATAGCCGGCCCTCCAGTGGGTTTTCAGAGGCGGCCAAGTGCACAGGAGGAGACTGTCCACCTGCCTCCAGAGGAGCAGCCGCTGATGGACTCAGTCCACCTGCTTTTCAGCTCGCAGCAAAACCCCTGACCCTCTAGGCCAGCAAGGACTGCATTCCTTAGGACAATCAAAGCACACATTTTGCACAAAAACAAAATTAAGAAGGCAGGCAGAATGGTCAAGTAGGCCTGAAGAACCCAGGGTGGGCAAGGGGAGGACACTGACACATTGGAGAGACTGAAACCAACGTCACAGGACAATCTGTACATGAGTTATTGGAATGTCATCCAAATTTGCTGTCTAAACTTTCACCTAAAGGAAAATAACATGTGAAAAAAATTTAAAAAAAAAAACCATCAGGAAACTAAGACTCTTTCATTTACAGAAGAGCACCTCACAAATTGTACTACCTGATGTAATAACTAATGTGTTGTTGTAAACTGCTGTCGAGTCAAGCACGACTCATAGTGACTCTATGAACAAAAGGCCTGAAGTCTTTCTATAACTATCAACATTTATCAAAGTTCATAGTGTTTCCAGAGGCATATTGTTTAGGAAGCGGATGTCACTACTGCTTCCAAAATAAGCAGCCTAATTAAAGTACTCTTTTCCATACACTGGAGACCGGGGGTAAATTTTACATCTGATACTGGTAAACTGAATTTGTGATTTAAAGAAGTAGTGGAAAACTAAGTAACATTTTATCATCTGTATTAATTGCAATAAAATATATTATACAGTTAAAAAGGACACTACATCTCCTTACCATTTCTATAATTTTCAATGTTTCTTTAATGGCAATGCAAAGCCTTATACACTGATACCAGCAAGGACATGAGATGACACACAAAACCACCTATGTCTAAAAATTGAAGAGCAAAAAGAATCGGCACCAATACCCTCGATTACTGTATAA